ACATTTTGTATTTTATTACTCCTTAGTTCTTATTACTTTTTTGGGGGGGAGAGAATAAAGTCAAATATGGCAAAACAAAGCTGTAAGTCAAAACCAAGGATAGACATAGCACATGATATAGAACAGAGTACAAGGTTATCAACAATGGTTATCAACGTTGTCTCTTGTTTCCTTAAAAGGAATTGTCCATCTCATTAGATATTATAAAGCCGGACAAAACAGTGGAGAACAAGACCAATAAAACTTAGGCATTGTGAACATTACAGGACTTCCAAAGGAGACAATAGTCAAACCAGAATGGGCATCTTTGTGAATCTTATTGCCTTCAAATTAGTTGCCGATACCTTCAAACTTGCTACTATCGCACAGAATGGAACAGAGTCTAATCAGTCAAAACAAGATCTTGGGAGTATTACAGGACTTCAAAACAAGTTAATAGGAGATCAAAAAGAGTTACTACTATATATCCTAATTTTTTAAGTTTTTCCCTTAATTAAAATAAACATAAGAAATAGCTAAATAATTTTTTTAAAGAATAGTAGTTACCATAGTGTCTGTCTTTTTCCTTAAAATATTTGGATAAAACTTCATATACTATAGCTTCAAATATTTCCATATCAAAAAGCCCAGAGTAAAGCCTTTCTAATTAATAAGTGAGAATTTTATAAGGCTTCAAGGCCACATAATGGGGAATCATGATTATCACATATTTTTATATATTTGAATCATTACTTACATTAGGGAAACTATTCGGTATTCATACATGCGAGATTGATTTATTTCACTTATGAGTATGGTCTCAAGCTGTGCCCATTTATTGATAAATATCTCAATGCGATCCTTCTTTATAGCTGAATAATACTCCATTGTATAGAAATACCACAACTTTTTTATCCATTCCTCAGTTGATGGACACTTGGGTTGTTTCCAAGATCTGGCGATTACAAATTGTGCTGCTATAAACATAGGTGCACATATATCCCTGTGGTATGATGCTTTCAGTTCTTCTGGGAATATGCCTAGAAGTGGAATAGCTGGAATAAATGGGATTTCCAATCCCAACTTTTTGAGAAATCTCCAGACAGACCTCCACAAAGGCTGTACCAGTCTACACTCCCACCAACAGTGCAGGAGAGTTCCTTTTTCCCCACAGCCTCTCCAGCATTTGTTGTTGTTGCTTTTCTTGATCCTGGCCATTCTTTCAGGAGTGAGATGGTATCTCAGTGTGGTTTTAATTTGCATTTCTCTAATGATCAATGATGATGAGCATTTTTTCATGTATTTATTTGCCATTTGCATTTCTTCATCTGAGAATTGCGTATTCATCTCAGATGCCCATTTTTGGATTGGATCTTTGAATTTTGGAGGTCTGAGTTTTTTTAATTCTTTATATGTTTTAGACAAGAGTCCCTTGTCTGAGAGAGAGTTCACTAAAATCTTTTCCCAGTTTGTGGGTTTTCTTTTCACTATGCTGGAGATTTCTTTTGACATGCAAAAACTTTTTAATAAGAAGTGGTCCCAGTTATTGATTCTGGGAAGTATTTCCCGTGCAGTTTGAGTCCTATTCATGAATTCTCTACCTACTCCTATGTCTCCAAGGTTTCTACCCAATTTGTCTTCCAATAGATTTAGCGTTTCTGTTTTAATATTCAGATCTTTGACCCATTTAGATTTTAATTTAGTACATGGTGATAGACATGGGTCTAGCTTTAGTTTTCGGCAAATGGAGAGCCAGTTTTTCCAGCACCATTTATTAAAGAGACTGTCGTTCTTCCAGTGAACCTGCTTGGCTCCTTTATCAAAGATAAGGTGGTTGAGTGTGTTTGTAGTTGTGGTTGTATCTTCTAATCTATTCCATTGATCTTCAGCTCTGTTTTGATTCCAATACCATGTTGATTTTACTACTGTTGCTTTGTAGTATAATTTCAAGTCTGGGATTGTGATGCCTCCTGCTTTGTCTTTGCTGCTTAGAATTGCTTTTGCGATTCTAGGTCTCTTCTGGTTCCAGATGAAATTTAGGAGTGATTTCTCTAGATCTATAAGGTATGTTGATGGTATTTCTATTGGGATTGCATTGAATCTGTATAAGAGTTTTGGGAGAATGGCCATCTTCACAATGTTTGTTCTTCCTATCCATGAGCAAGGGATGTCTTTCCATTTTCTGAGATCATCTTCAATTTCCTTTTTCAGAGTAATATAGTTTTCACTGTATAAGTCTTTCACTTCTTTCGTAAGAGTAATTCCTAAATATTTCATTTTTTTGCTTGCTAATGTGAATAGTCCAGTTTCCCTTATTTCCCTCTCTGTGGTTTTGTTGTTTGTGTATAGGAATGCTATTGATTTCTGAGTATTGATTTTGTATCCAGCCACATTACTGAATTTATTTATTGTATCTAAGAGTCTTTCAATGGAGCTTAGGGGGTCTTCTATGTAGAGTATCATGTCATCTGCAAACAATGACAACTTAACTTCTTCTTTTCCTATCTTTACCCCTTTTATTTCTCTTTCTTGCCTAATTGCTCTGGCTAGTACTTCCAGTACTATATTAAATAGGAGTGGTGATAAAGGACATCCTTGTCTTGTGCCTGATTTTAAAGTAAAGGCTTTCAATTTTTGGCCATTTAGAATGATGCTGGCTGTTGGTTTGTCATAAATGGCCTTTATTATATTGAGGTAAAGACCATCTATTCCAATTTTCTGTAGAGTTTTTATCATGAATAAATGTTGGACCTTATCGAAGGCTTTTTCTGCATCTATAGAAATGATCATGTGATTCTTATTTTTGGCTTTATTGATATGGTGGATTACATTTATTGATTTGCATATGTTGAACCATCCTTGCATTCCTGGGATGAATCCCACTTGGTCATGGTGTATAATCTTCTTGATGATTTGCTGGATCCTATTTGCCAATATTTTATTGAGGATTTTTGCATCTGTGTTCATTAGGGAGATCGGTCTATAGTTCTCTTTTTTAGTTGGGTCTTTCTCAGGTTTTGGTACTAGAGTGATATTTGCTTCCAGGAATGACTTAGGAAGGATTGCTTCCCTTTCAATTTCATTGAATAGTTTGAGGAGTGTCGGCATTAGGTCTTCTTTGTATTTCTTGTAGAATTCTGCAGTGAATCCATCTGGGCCTGGGCTCTTCTTGGTGGGTAAGGACTTAATTACATTTTCAATTTCAGTAACCGAGATTGGGTTATTCAACAGTTTTATATCCTCTTGATCTAGCTTTGGCACTTCATATGCTTCTAAGAAACTGTCTATTTCTTCTGTGTTATCAAACTTTTGAGAGTAAAGGTTTTCAAAATAGGTGTTGATGATCTTCTGTATTTCTATTGGGTCTGTAGTGACTTCTCCTTTTTCATTTTTTATTGCATGAATTTGAGCTTTTTCTTCCCTTTTTTTAATAAGGTTGGCTAGGGGCTTATCGATTTTATTTATTCTTTCAAAGAACCAACTCTTTGATTTGTTGATCCTTTGGATTGTTTTCTTAGTCTCTATTGCATTGATTTCTGCTCTGATTTTTATATGTTTTCAATATTTCTGGGAAAATACCGAGGAGGAGAATAGCTGGATTGAATGGAACTTCCAATCCTAGTTTTTTGAAGAATCTCCATACTGATTTCCACGGTAGCTGCACGAGGCTACACTCCCATCAACAGTGGAACAGTGTTCCTTTTTCCCCACAGCCTCGCCAACACTTGTTATCAGTTGATTTCTTGATGGCAGCTATTCTTTCTGGAGTGAGATGAAACCTCAGTGCTGTTTTAATTTGCATTTCTCAAATGACCAGTGGTGGTAAACATTTCTTCATGTATTTATTTGCCATTTATATATCTTCATCTGAGAAATGTATGCTCATCTCAGACGCCCATTTTTGGAGAGGGTCTTTGTATTTGGGGGGCTTGATGTTTTTCAACTCTTCATATGTTCTGGATATAAGTCCTTTGTCTGAGAGATTGCTGGTTAAAATTTTTTCCCATTCTGTGGGTTTTCTTCTCACTTTGTTGATTTCTTTTGAAGTACAAAAACTTTTTAATAATACGAGATCCCAGTTGTTGATTCTTTGAAGTATTTCTCGTGCAGTTTGCATTTTGTTCATGAATTCTCTATCTACCCCTATGTCTCCAAGATTTGTACCTACCTTATCTTCCAGTAGACTTAGTGTTTCTGTTTTAATGTTTAGACTTTTGATCCATTTTGACTTTAGTTTAGTGCACAAGTCACAACTTTTATGTGACTCCTTTCCAGAGACTCAGAAACACCTCACAGGATAAGGTGATGGCTTGACTCATTATCTTTTTAAATTTCTGCATCTTCACCTTCCTCAAGGCATCAGTTAAAGACCCCCCTCTTGACCCTCACTCAATTAATGCACCTCGGCTTCTTGCCTCCCAGCTCTTTCTCATATCTTCCCTCTCTTTTCACTCATACACACTCACTCTCCCTCTTTAGTCTCTGAGCAAACCAGTCTCAGGATACCAATGCCTGTTGCCACTTTCTCCAGCCTTATTCCTCTTTCTAGTCCTCCAGAAGCCTGTTGAGACCAAACTGTCCACCCACAGCACTGGCAGCTGCTGAAAGTCCTACTACTCCTATTCTGATGAATCTGTCCATGTCTTCAGGTGGCCTCGCTTCCACCCTCAGGCTAGGTGATGCACAGAGGCGCACACTCTGGTTTCTCTTCCCTCTGAACCTTCCTGCCCCCCTTGAGTTGTAAGCATCTAACAATTCAGAAACATGCTCATGCAACCTTGAATTCCCAGTGCCTATGCCACAGTTGACCACATGGTAAGAGTTTAATAAATGCCCCTGAATGATGTATAATTGACTTTTGAATGAGAGCCAACTTTAAAGATCAGTAAAATTATATGAACAAGGGTCTTCAAGATTGTATGTTGCTTGTACAATAAAAATATTAAATATTAACTTCTGAAATATGAATCACTTCAAAGACATGGAAAAATTAAAGAAGTAACTCATCTGACCAAATAGCATTTTGAGATCACAGAAAAATTTATTTTAGAGAGAAAAGAAATGCTAAACCCAGAGGGTAAAACTTTCCACCAGGAAATGACAAAGTCACAAGCCCTCTCCAAAGGGCCCATATACTACCCATCCGATGCCTTGACAGAATCATGGACTCAATGGCTGTGCACAGACTCAGCTAGCTCACAAAGTAGACTCAAGATCTGAGAAGCAAATCATGTTCCATCAGTGCTGTCCCCTCCCTGTCCTCTCCAGCACATCTCAAGTATTTAGTATATGACTCTAAATTGAAAGTTATGAATTCTCACAAGGCATTCAGAGGCAGAAGCAACTCATAAGATCTTAGAAAGAGCATCAAACTGCCTTGCAAAATATGGGGAGATTTCAGATGGACTCAAGCCCAAAACCCAAGCTGGGTGCTCACACCCCTCAGGCCTAGGACAGCAGAATGGAACAGAGCTGGGATACAGGCTCCCAACCCAAGGGGAACTTCTCAGCACAGTTCTAATAGAGAAGATTCTGGAAAAGGACAAGCTTCCAAAGAATAGAGCTGGCTGGAGGGACAAGACAGAAGCAGAACTTGATTATCTATCCCTCTATCCACTGCTAAGAACAATCCTTCCTTTGGACAAGGATGCGCTTCTCCTTCCTCCTTTAGACAGGATGTGCTCACCTGGCTGCTGAAATACTCCCACCTGGAACTGGTGATAAACGTTTCTGGGCACAAGATCAAGACAGGTATGGCCTGCAGGTATGATGTAGGCAGAAATTTACACCTGCCATCAATTTTGAAGTGCAAGGCTACTGACCAAGAAGCAGGATTGGCCTTGGTACAAAGGTACTTTACCAAGGTTGCTTCTTGGAAATCAGTCACTTGACCAAAGGGATCATTCCCAGGCCCCTGAGGGATGGGTTCTCATGGAGAGGCCCAGGTGTGGGCAAAGAGCCTGGGAGTAAGACCCTTGGTGTAGCTGACATCAGCTCTGGACCATCTGCCTTGAAGATGCTCCACAGGCTCTTTCCCTCACTGCTTTAACTAAGCCCTGAAGTGCCCCCAGGACAGGAGCCCAGGCAGCCCAGGGGAGGCTGAGTGAAGAGGTGTCTGACTGTTACATCTAAGACAGCGCCCTCCAAAGAGAGCTGCTAATTGGGCTTAGCCACCCTGCTTTCCCCACTTAGAGATGAATTTATCCACAAAACTGCTGCGACTCATCAGGTAGGGCTAAGTGAGAGTCAGGGAGAGTGTGGAGGGGTTGGGGAGTGGCGACAGGAGGAGTTCTGAGCTGTGTTGGGTGCAGAACTCAGACACTGGCTCAGCTGGGCCTCTACTCCACCACTCGCCTGCGGGAGGAGATGGTGGAGGTCTGGATGATCTGCACGCGGCGCGAGGAGCTGCCGCCGGCTCGGCTCCCGCTCCTGCTGCTGCTCCTGGTATTGGCACCATAGCTCCCACTGCTGCCGCTCCGGCCACTGCCTCCAAAACTGCCCCCGCTGCTGCTGCTGCTGGGATAGCCGCCTCTGTAACCTCTGGAGCCACCTCCACCGCCGTCACCACTCACAGCTACCTGGCTGCTCTGCACCGCTGTATAGGACAGGGCAGCGCAGAAGGTCAGAAGGGTTAGGGTTAGGCAGGGGGACCCAGCTGTACAGGCCCTGACACCTGCAGCCTCCTACATCCTTAATCCACAGCGAACCAACATGCAAACAGATGCATTGGAAGTCAAAAGTCCTCCCACTTAGAAAGCCCTTGTCCCTCTATAAGTAACACCTTCTCATTGCTTATTGAATGCGTATCCTAAAGACTTCTACCTGCTGCTGATTAAGTACCGTCCAAGTTAACATAAGCAGACCTGAAATCATAACCATTTATTTTAACCAATTCGTCTGCTCTTCAGTGCTAGTCCCTGCTGGCTACCTGGGAACCTTCCTTAGCCCTGCCCTCTTCCCAGGGTCAGCCACTTCTATCCCTGGACCCTGCTACTTACCGATGCTTACGTGGCTCTGCTGTTCTCCTGACATCCTGGAAAACCGAAAAATACACATCAGCTGAACTTATGGGGCCTGAAGACGTCAACTGTAGAAACCAGGAGCAGAGATGTGGTATGAAGCAGTAGCTGTCCCCAAGCCTCCAGGAGATGTGTGTGCATAGGCAGATGCCAGGGGCCAGTGGGGCTAGCAGGGGTTTCAGCCTTTTAACAAGGCCTTACAGCATGGAGGTTGCCACCTGGCTGCAATGACTTGGGTCATGAACACATAGTGCTTGGAGGCTGGGTATGGTCACAATGGCTTCTCTCCTACCCTCCAACTCACACAACCTCTGCATAAAGCAAATGCTTCTCCTCAACCTGGATTACCAATCTCCTGGGAAGACTGTCTTCTCTCTGAATGGTTCCACTACTCCATGGTTGCATCCTCAGCTTTGGTTTGGAAAACATAGTCACCACACCCACCTGTTCTCCTCACACTCCAGCAGCTTGCAGTAGGTGGCAATCTCCACATCCAGGGACAGTTTGGCCCCCAGCATTGCCTGGTAGTCACACAGCAGCCGGGCCAAGTCTTCCTTGGAATTCTGCAGGGCCTCATCCATGTTCTGAAGCTTCTGTTTTGCATCCTGGAGAGCCCGGTCTCCCCTCTCCTCTGCATCTGAAATGGCCGAGTGCATCTGTTCAATCTACACCACAGAGAGTTGGAGAACCACATTAGGTAGGTGTTGAGTTTGGAAGGCCTGATCTAGCAGTGCACAGCAGGCGGCAAACCCCGTGTCTAGTCAGCCCACCCTGAGCCCCTGTCCCACCTGCTTCTTGACATTGGCAATCTCTGCTTGCATCCCCTTAATGTTGCGGTTGAGCTCAGCAATCGCCATCTTGGTATTTTTCAGGTCATCTCCATGTCTCCCTGCTAAGATCTGAAGTTCCTGGTACTAAGGGTCAAAGGCACATCATGGTCAGCACCTGATGCTCATGGTGGGCTCTCCTAAGAAGGGGTGAGTCTAGGCTGTTCTCCCCTGGAAATTTCCAGAGTAAGCCCACCTACGGCTGTGGTCCCACAAGTGCACATACATACTCACACCCATACCAAACCTCTCTCGCTTGAGCTGTAAACACACACACACACACACACACACCCTCTATACCAAGTCTCCCTCACTCCCACCACTCTCCAGGCAGGCTTATATCCTAGCCAGAAAGCCCTGCTTCTTGATATTCTTTCTGCCTCATTTTTTTGTGCACCTAAATCTTCACATTGGTCCTTATCCACACTACAACCCCTCACTCTTTCCATTCTACCATATGCCTTCCTACCTTTTTCCAGGATGATTTCCCCTATCAGGGAGGACTGCCTGTCCTCAGACGCCCTCAGCATGCTTTGTGTTTGTTCATATTTACTCTCTCTGTTTTTCTCCCTCTATCCCTCCTACCTCTCTCCCCTTCCTCCCTTCCTTCCTCTCTCCCTCTCCTTCTTCCTCTCCCTCCCCTTCTCCCTCCCTCTCCTATATCTATCTCTATCCCACAGATCATGGTAGAGGGCAAGTTGATGCAAGAGAATTAGTTTTTTGATGTTTTCACTGTTGACTATGTGCTTTCCAGTTCAATATCAAAATCCCATTCCATCCCAGGACATCTATCTGTGGAATAGTGGGACAGAAGAGATCAGCCAAGATTGGAATTGGTCTTAAATAATTCACAGAACATATCACCCAATGCCAACTCTTCAGGATTAGGTGGCTTGGCTGTTGTGTTTATCCCTTCAATTATAGTCTTCATCCTCCAAAAAGGCCCAGGTAAATTTATGATAAAAAGAAAAAAAGTAGCCAAAGATATGCCCAAGGACTTTACTATGTGTATGTTTATCTAGTATGTGAGAAGGTTGTCTCGTAGTGGGGTATGTTGAACTAAAATGTTGTAGAACATTTAGTAGCATAGTAAGGTATTCATAAGTGGTAAGTAACACAGAAAAGTGAAAAGTACAAAGTTATATTTTAATGGATACTATTATGAAACAACTAAAAGCATTGTAGTGATTTCTTATGTCCTATTTTTTTCTATTTTGTTATGTTTAATTTTACCCCACCACCACCTTTAAAATTAAAAAAAAAGAAGAAGAAGTAAGGCTTTCTGGCTAGGATGTAAGCCTGCCTGAAGTAAGAGCAGTGGCTCAGAGGCAGCACACTGAAGTTTAACTGGGTTCTGGAGCCACTTGCTTGCTACAAAGTTTAGGGAATCTCACACTCTATTACTTGCAAAGTAGTGATAATAAAACCTGATCTATTGGGGTTATTTTAAGGATTAAATGAAAAAATGTATTAAGCATGTGTGTGGTGCCTCGAACCTGGGAGTTCTCCATAAATGGTAGCTGCAAATAAATGCATAAATGGTAGAATGGGGGTGATGAGATATTGGTAATTTTTACCCATAACTTCTCAAATTTCTGCAGCATGTTGTACTTCAGAAATAAAGGGAAGATGGTACCAATCTTTGGAAGTATCTATTATTTGGAGGTACAAATCTGGAGGGCCTGGCTCACCTTGGTCTGGTACAGCGCCTCAGCCTCATCCTTACTCTTCTGTATAATCAGTTCATACTCAGCCTGCACTGCTTGAATGATGCTGTCCAGGTCCAGGGTGCGGTTATTATCCATTGATAGGATGACATTGGTGTCAGTGACGTTGGTTTGCACCTGGGACATCTCCTGTAATACATGGAACTCAGTTGATTCCTTTCACTCCCCTCCTACAGTCCTCAGTTTCCCTGGAGAAGCCAGAAACCTGAGCTAGCAGGATTATTGGGAGAAAGTCTTTAAATTATGGATAAGTAGAGGGAATGGGAGAGTCCCAACTACCACAAGAAAGGTAATGGGCCCAAGGCTAGCTTCCAGGGAGAAGGAAGGCATTCTTCATCATGTCTCTCCCATACCCTGGATCCTGGCCTTATTCTCACCTGACTGTTATGAGCTGAGTCCCTCAACAAGCATACAAGCTCCTTGAAACCACAAGAGCTCTAAAACAACAGGAAAGATTCTAGCTGAGGAGCCACTCACTTCACTAGCTATAATTTAATCTTTCAGTCTCTGCTTCCTCTTCTGTAGAATGGAGATGCCCATCACATAAGTAGAGCTCCTAACACAGAACAACCCAGGGCATGTTCCACATCAGACACAGATGACAGAAGGATTGGGATGAAGGAGCACACTGTACCCTACAGTGTGTCTTTACTCTAAGATCCATATTTTCATCTCCTACAGAGTTCTTTAATCACCCCATCAGCTCCCCAGTATGGTGCATGTACATGAAGATTTATGGTTGGTTTTTCTACGTCCCAGTGTTAGCATCATTTTCCAGATAGGTTGGGCACCATGAAACAGAGACAACTTTATCTCCTCCTATCTTTGAATTCTCACTGATCCCATCTCCACTCCCCCCACCGAGGAACTCTGAAAATTGAGGGTAGAGAGAATGGCTGACTCCAGACTCACAGAACTGGGGACCTGAGAAGATGAGCTTCTAGTGGAGAGTGTTAGGTTCCAGGCCTCCTTCATTCAATGCATAACCCTTGTAAGAAAAGAATGGAGTCTCTCATAAGAGCTGAACTCACCACACCACATAAATACTTCAAGAAATTGATCTCCACGATCAATATGTGTAGTTTGGACTGCAGATTTCTTTCACTCATACAAGCAGCATCCATATCCTACAAAGCAAGCAAAGATGGCTTGACACTATCACCCAGGAATCATCTGCTATGCTAGATTGCTAGCTGACCGAGGCAAGTGACAAAGCATCTCTGAATTTATGTCCTGGCCTAAAAATGCCAACACTCAACCTCAGTCAAATCAGAAGCCTGCAAACTCTAACTATCCTGGCCAGAAGAAGGCATGACACAAACCTCCATACTTCCGTCAGCCACATACACACAGCACCCTGGGAACTTTCTCTGTTCCGAGGACATACAGAACTGACATTCAAAAGCTGTCACTTAATTTAATGTCATTTTCAGAAGCCTGGAGAAATGTAAACAGGATGATTCCTACAGGATTCTAGCAATGCCCATTTCAGATTTCCTTCTGCTTCAGTGTAAGAGCCCAACATTTGGGCAGCACTCATCAAGATGGCCTCAGAAGTCACTCTGTCCATGTCATCAAACATCCCACAGGGATGTCTCACTCTACCCAGTCTCTTGTGTCCACAGACCCCCTTGGAACCTCCTTTTCCTTTACCTTCTTCAGATCTGCAAACTCATTCTCAATATTGGTCCTCTTGTTGATTTCTTCCTCGTACCTGGGGGAGGTAAGGAACACAGACAGCTGCAGAGCTGATCTTGGCTCCCTGAGGTGTCTGCTCACAGCAGAAAGCTCAGGCTTCCCCAAGCCTCTGCTGTCTTGGACTCAGAGATCCCAGCTTACAACACTGATTGGCTCCTGCCGGGACCTGCTGCTTTCTTCTGAGCTCTGAAGCCAGATTTCGGTTCCCCAAGCCAACATAGAGGACAAGGACCCAGGTTAGAAACTCAGAGCTACACAGAAAGCCCCCAAAATGCCCATTCTATTCTGATGTTTTATCTTTATAAATATGTCAAATTCAATTGGGTTTTTCTCCATTAAAAACAAAGTAATCACCACTTTTACTAAATTGTTTAAAAGAAAAAGTTGCACCAACAATGCTGCTCCACAGCATGTCCAGTGTGAGTTTGGTTTTCCCTGACGGATCACACACCTTTGGGTCTCCCTGGCACAATACAAGTGTATCAGGGAGGAAGAGAAAGGGAGAAATCACTCAGTCATTTGCACAATTGCTTGGGAACAGCTGATCTTAAGTTTGACAAGGCCCGCAATCTCTATCATTATTATTAATAATAGCTGCCACTTACTGAGTGCTTGGTATGTGCAGGCATTGTACAAAGAACTTACTAACCATAATTGCTTTTAAACCAGTCCTTCTCAAAGTGTAGACCCCAATCCATCAGTATCAGCACCACTTGGTAACATGCTAAAAATGCAAATGCTCTGGCGCCATCCCAGACCTACTAAAGCAGAAATTCTAGGAGTGGAGCTTGGCAATCTGATTTTAGCAAGCTGATGCATGCCAGAATTTGAGAACCACAGACCTATCTGGCACAGTAATCCATCAAGGAAGTTACTATCCCCACTTTAACATGAGAACCAAAGACATAAAAGAACTCATGGCAGCTAATGGCAGACTAGCATAGTCTATTTGGCTCTAGTATCCATAAAAGCTACCCTGCCCTTCCCCACTAAGTACAATTGGCAGTTCCCATCCCACCAGGGCTGCTAGCGGTGCTCCCTGCACTGCACAGTGCACAGCCCACACAACTGGTACCACCTCTTACACATAAACACCGCAGCAGAATGGCTTGCCCCTTGTGAATCACTTCCCTGCTGCATTGCTTCCCACCCCCTTTATCCTATGGGCCTCACTTGCTCTTGTAGTCCTCCACAATGTCCTCCATGCTCCCAATCTCTGAGTTTATGTGCATCTGCTCAGCATTAAGAAAATCTGCCTGCTTCTGCAGCGTACTGATGTAGTTCTCAAAGAAGTCATCCAGGCTGTTGGTCTGTGACAAGGTGTCCACCTGCTGCAGAAGCTCCCATTTTGTTTGTAACACCTGGTTCTGCTGCTCCAGAAACCGCACCTAAGAACAAGGACCCCAGTCAATCTCCAGGCAGATCAGAGCAGATCTCCACAGATCAGAGCAACTCCCCCACAGGAGGGGGATCAGTAACCCATTGTAGGCCCAGATCTCAAAGAATCAGGGTGACCTAGGGTGGAAAACTTCTTTTCTAGCATCAGGACACCAGAAAGCAATTATGATAGTGACCAGTGGCTACAGGTCAACTTGCCTAAAATTAACACTGAGCTCACTCTGGTTTTAAAGATACATCACTTCCAGTGAGTGCCATGTTTCACTTGCTATAAACATTCACATCATAGAATTGTCACTTCTGCACTAAATTTACCCATGCTAACTTAAGGAAATGGTGTTTCTGAACCTGGAAAGAGTGAAAAACCAAGATTTCTTTCTCTTTCTGGTTGATTGAAGATGAGAAAATAAGGACACAGAAGTCACAATCCAACTTGGAATATTAAAATTGATTCCTGAGAAAGCTTCCGTGGGTGCCCCTGTATAGCCACCACCATCTCTTCTTATTGCCAGTATGTTTCAGGAAAGTAACCTATATAACTATACATATATATATATATGTAGTCCAGGCAGGACTTTTTTAGATGGTCTCAGTTTTTTAATTGTGTAATATACCCAGTGACCCTTTGGGTGGTCAGCAGATCTTTGAGACATGCTCAAGTTGCTCTTTCCTTAATAGCCTAGGAAATGGAGTAGGAAATCGCATGACCTTGAATTTGCATGACCTCTTCTCCCAAAACTGGATACAAAGATGAGATTCAGGGACCAAAGAGGTGACTGGCTGTGCAGACTAAGTAGATGGTCTTGGTGACTTTACAGAGTGACAGTCAGATTTCAATATCCTTCTGCTGGTTGCCCCCAAATGGAGAAATTCAGCCTTCCGTCCTCTGTGCTGAGAGAAATGATGGTTCTGCCTCTGTGCTTTGCTGCAGCACTTGTGTGTGTTTATGCACACACTAATACCCAGACATACACATATTTGTACCCCCTCACAGGTATACATCCCTCCAAAATACAGCTCTCTCCTCTAGGAGCCCTGTGAAAGAGCAAACCCACTGCTTGGTGCCATCAGAGAAAAACCCTGCAGGCATGGGTTATAGTGTGGCATTAATGCAAGCACCCAAAACCCAGCTGCTGCACCTACCTGTCCAAGGGTCAGCCCTTGGTAACCCCCTCTAGATCCTGACTCTAGACAGAACAATGCTCACAGAGAGCATTATTTCACATGGCTCATGTTTGCTGGCTTTAGCAAAGCAAGAGGTTGGGCAATCAGCAACCTCTCACAAACTTATCAACACAGCCCGAAACACTCCTGGGAGGAATTTCTGTCACTGCCTATTTTTACTGTGTGGTGGCACGCCCAGAAAAACCAATTCAATACTCAGAGCCCTGTGCTTAGTAGCAGTAGCATTGTGGGGACCAAAGAAAGAAAATCATGGCAGCATCTGTGTAGTGGAGCACCTTGTAGGAGCCTGGTTTTTATTGCAAATGACACAAGAAGCCAGTGGAGGTCTTAAATGGAGGAGCTATGGGCTCTGTTACACTGCTAAGAAAAGGCAGCTTAGAGTGAAGGGAAAATACAGGATGACCAGCCCAGGGACCAGGGTCAAAATCCCTATAACTGAAGCCTTCTTTCCAGGCCAGAGCCCATCTGGCTGAGGTATCTCCCCTCTTGGTCATCACAGACCTTGCCCTTAGAGAAGGTCAAGAAGTTAGTTTTTTGCAATCTGCCTTCTGCTTAAAGCCCCCTGCTATAAAACTGGACAAAAGCTCTGTTAATGGCACGAACGAAAATCCAGTAAGAATCTCAGATCAATAGTCAGAACCTGTGGTCGTCTGACTGATTTCTCTGCTCCTCCCCACCCCAGGCTTGATCTCTCAGAGGTATCTCCTTCACCTCTACCTTTACCTTTATCTTCACCTTCACATTTTTTCTTGTGCTGGTCAAACTTTTTCAGTCTGTGCCTGTATCTAAAGTGAGATATTCAGCCAGATTTCCAATCCATGGTGACCAGAAGTAGCCGGAAGCACCATGCCTTTGTTGAACTATTTTTTGGCTGCCTCTATGCCTCAGCATTCTACCCCTCTTCCTCTTGGTGACATACTCTACCCTGCTCCTAGTGTTTGTCCTGATAAGAGGCAGTGGCCATTGTGCCCCCACCTCTGGTTTAGAAAAAGAGTTTTATTATGCCTGTTCTGCCAGCCTCTGCCTGGATATTTGGCCTTGAGCTCAAACTAATCTGAGGTTGATCCAGGGAACTAGTGAAAAGAGATTCCATGGCTCCATCTGCACCTTCTGTGCCCTGGATGAGTGACACAGAAGTAAGAATGTGGCATTGTGTGTCACTGACTTTAGCTCTCAGCCATGTCCCAGTTTCCTAGGCCTTGTATGGCTTGCTCAGACAGCTTTCCTAACTGCTCTAGAGCTTCGTCTCTACTTCTCCCACTTCCTTCCATTATGTCATTTTCCCCAGGAATCTTCACCATCTGAAATTCCTAAAATATGTTACACTTTCATGTCTCCTTCTGTCAGGAAATGCCTTCTTCTCTGCAAAGTTGTTGGACTCTTCTTCTACCTTCAAGACCAGGGCCTCAGAGAATCTCTCCCAGGCAGAGCTCAGGGTGCTTTCCTTTGAACTTCTTTAGCCCAAAGACTCCTATCCCTATTAACATACTTCTTATACACTTTTGTGTTAATTCATTTGCTTTTAAATGTAGAATTTCTTGTATCCTGTCATGCCTATAGTGCATAAAACAGTGATTGGCATACCATAGATGCTTAGTAAATATTTGCAGACTGCACAGGTAGACATGAATACATGGATGGATGGATGGATGGATGGATGGATGGATGGGTAAATGGGTGTGAATGATAGGGGTAGGTTGTTTGCATATGTATGAATAGGTGTGTGCAGTTGTGTATGTAGAAAGATGAATGAATATGTATGGATGGGTAGGTGGATGAATGGATCATGTGGGTGGGTGGATGATAGATGAATGGACTGTGTGCACAAGTGGATGAAAGGATGTTTGGATGAGTGGACAGCTGGATGGAGGTGGGCAGAAATGGATGATGGATGGATGGATGGACATACGTTGATGGGTGAGCACATGGATGGATAGGAGTGCACAAGGACACACACATGTATGTGTGTAGAGAGACAAAGAGAGAGGAAGGGAAGGATGTGTAGGTGAATGAACAGATGGATAGGTGTGTGGCTGAGTGAATGGATGGATAAATGCATGGGTGAAAGAAAAGTAAATACTGGTGAATAAGAATTAACTTACTATACAGTATATTTGTTGAGTATTTTCATACCCTTTATCTGCTTTCTTGTCAAAAGGGAACAGAAAGAACCTATACACACAAGTAACTTAAGTACCTTCAAAAGTCCTAGGGCATACGTGTCTGAGAGTGGCTGTCATCATCAAACTGAAACAGCACTGTAGGGTAGAAGATTTGTGACCAAAGACTCTGCCTGCCCCTAAGGTACTCACCTTGTCAATGAAGGAGGCAAACTTGTTGTTGAGAACCATAAGCTGTTCCCGCTCTCGGGTCTTGCTCTTCTGAATTTCAGGATCCACTTCCAAGTGAAGTGGCTCTAGGAGGCTCTGATTAATAGTCACCTCATGGATGCCACCCGGAGAATATGAAGGACCAAAGCCTGCAGACCCAAAATTGATAGCCCCTGCAACTCCTAAGCTACCTCCTTCATGGCAACCACCTCCAAATCTCCCAGTTCCAAAACTCCCACTACCAAGACCACAACCCCCAAAGCTTCTTCCCACTCTAAATCTTCCTCCTGCTCCCCTACCCTGGTGGAAACCGCTGGCACTTCTGCCCACCAGGCCCGAGGAAATGCTTGTACAGCCACGCAGGCTGCAAAGACTCCGAGAGCCGAACCCTCTTCCGTGGCCCACATATCCACCAGAACCATCCCTCCCCCAAGCCTGACTCACAGACCCCACGACCCGACTGCCACCACCAAAGCCTGAGGAAGACGTGTTGTTACAGGCCTGCCTGCTCCTTAAGCTAAATGTAGATTGCGAACTAAAGTGATGGCTCATGGTTGCAGGAGCAACCAGAGGCGAGATAAGAGCAAGAGCACAGCTGAAAGAAGGCAGAGATTAGGGAGGGAGTAGGTATAACTCCTTTGGGAGAGACCTGGCTCGGTCCCTATATATACACCCATCAGCTGGGCTGGGCCCCTTCAGAATCCTGGGAGGTGAGTATTAATGTTTAGTTGCCAGCCAGTGACATCTATTTAAACACTCATACCTATGTGTTGCAGAAAATATATCAAAGACAAACTTCCTCAACTCGAACATTTGTCATTTATCTTATGACATGGAGAGGTCAGAGTGCAATAAGCTCTCAGAATCTAGTTGTTGAAAACTGCTGTACAGTTTCTTCCCAAATTATTAGTTGATATCTTCCTAAGAAACTCTACCCCGTAGTGGTTTGCTTGGGGCATGCCTTGGAAATCTGGGAAAAGCTAGGGGATATCTACTCTCTGTTTGTCATTTCTAATTTGTTATAGCTAATATTTTTGTAAAATAAAATGAATCAGCCTTTAAAGAAGATTTAATGAGCAAAGTCATACAAAATACGTCCCAGGTTTTCCTTTCATTTTTAGATTCAGCAACTGTAAAATTGTTCTATTGTTAAAAATAACAGTAAGATTCTAAGTGGTTGCCCTTCAATTCTGTACTTAAAAGGAAAAGCATCCATGGACCAGCAATAGCATATGTCTGCGTTCTGGGAACCACTAGCTCAGACAACAGGCCTCAGGTAGAGCCAAAAGAAATGTGTGTTTCAAATAGCTGATGCCTTTTGATCAGATTCTAATAATAACCGTTAAATTTGAAAGGAGAAAAAAAAAAACCTTAAACCTCCAGTCTCAGAATAAATGGCTAAGTGAAGTTTTGCCCACTTGGATACAACAGAACTGGAAAACACTTAGACAAAAAGTGAAATGAAGGGATCAGAATACACAGTGGGGTATGTGCTGTGAAAATTAAAGGTACAGGTAAGACAGGCTTTGAAAGTACATGGACTAGGGCCAGGCACTTAGCTCAGTAGCACAAGCAGTAGGCAGTTGGATCCCCAGTACCAGAAAGAAAGAAAGAAAGAAAGAAAGAAAGAAAGAAAGAAAGAGAGAGAGAGAGAGAGAGTACATATGTAGGTCTATTACAGGTTGTCTGTTTTTTCTGGAATTTAAAATGTCCTTTTCCTCTTGCATTTATGCAATAAATAAATAGTTTTTAGAAAAGCTGTGCAAAAATGCCAGTTGCGGTGAGAAAGAGTGAGTGGTAATAAGAAGCCAGGGGCAGAGCAGCAAAGAGGAGAAGCAGTCTAGGCTGGGAGAGGCGCTGAGGGCAACTTCAGTTTCCACACCCCCTGGTCACCCTTCTTTGTCCTCTGCCAACTGCTTAATAGTAGGTCATCTCCCGGAGACACTGTGGGCCAGAAGGAGAGTGCGTGTGGAATGCACAGGCAGAAGAGCTGGTTTCAGCTCCCAGTACCATTCCTTCGTGCCTTTGTGGCTGCACAATCTCAGGCAAGCTCCTACTCTACAGCCTCTGCTACTAAAGGAATTATAGTGTCTCTTTCTCAAAAAGCCAGTGCCATGCAGTGCAAAACTAGTAACGTGCGCATAATACATTCAGCAAGTGTAAATATAGCTGTTCACACAAAGGACTTCTAACTAAAACCTATAAAGAACTGAAAATACTCAGACCCCCCAAATTCAAAGACCCAATCCAAAAATGGGCCTCTGAGATGAAATCACACTTCTCAGATAAAGAAACACAAATGGCAAATAAATATATGAAAAAATGTTCAATATTATTGGTCATTCGAGAAATGCAAATTAAAACAACACCAAGAGTTCATCTCACTCCAGAAAAAACTGCCACCATCATGAAATTCATCAATAACAAATGCTGGAGAGGCTGTGGGGCAAAAAGAACCTTTCTCCGCTATTGGTGGGAGAGTAGCCTATTAGCTAAAACACCAGAATCTCCTTCATTCAGAGATGAAACATCCTAAGTCAAGGGCCCCTTTCCACTGTCACTAGTACCCATCAAATTGCTAGCAGCCAAGGATACAGCTCAGCAGCACAGTGCCTACCTGGCAAGCATGTGGTCCTGAGTTAGACTGTCAGATTGCCAGTACCAACAAAATTGTGTGTGTGTGTGTGTGTGTGTGTGTGTGTGTGTGTGTGTGTGTATGTGTGTGTATTTTTTAAGGCAGAGTGAAGCAACAGCAGAAATCTACCTCACTCAGTTAAAGTAAAGACTAGCACACAGACATCTTGGAAAAATAAGAGCTTGGGCGCCCACTTTGAGCAGGCCTGGAGCTGAAGCCCATCTCCACAACCTACTAGTTTTTTGACTGAACTAATCACTGAACTTTTTGAACTCTACTTGTCTGATGCTTAAAGCACCTGGTACAACATTTGACAATAAATAGTAAAATAATTTCTGGGCTCACCAGCAATAGTTACAGCATGAAGACTTATGAGTGCCTAAAACTAAGTACCTGAACTAGACCTGGTGAAGTACATCTGTAGTCCTCGCACTTGAGAGACTGAGGAAGGAGAATCACTGCAGGCTCAAGAGCAGCCTGAAATACATAGGGAGACCCTGTTTCAAAAAGCCAGAGAGAGAGAGACAGAGATAGAGATAGAGACAGAGACAGAGACAGAGACAGAGACAGACAGAGACAGAGACAGACAGAGACAGAGACAGAAAGACAAAGAAGAATGGGTGGTGGATGGTCTCATTACATCTTAATACCAGCATCGTAAGGAAGGTATTCTCCTTGCTATTCTCAGTTTGCAAACACAGGATGCAGGGAATTGTGCTGGGGAAGGTTCAGGGGAACTGTTTGTGAAAATTCCGGGAAGGAAAAACAGATACAATGAGGAGGCAAAGGCAGGGAGCCATAAAGGGCCACCCTTCCCAGCGGAGGAAGCAGGAAGTAGCAGAGCTGAGCTTGTGGGTCAGAGCAGGTACTAGCAATGTCCTGGAGAGGATCCTGCTCAGCACTCACTGGGTTTGTGTTCCCCCTCCTACTAAATATGAGTGCGTATTAAGCTGGGATGAAATAAAAAATATCGGAAACCCTGCTTGGCTCTTGGCTGTGACCAGCTGCCAGCATCCAATGCCAACATCTCCTGTCATCTCAGTGGCCTTTGGTGGGCTTCTGTCACTCCCAGGAAAGGAAAGGAAAGACATAAACAAACACTAGTAACCAAGCCTATGATGACGTGACAGCTATTCCCTCTCCCTTGGAAAGAGAAAAAAAATTACTTACAGGTAAGCATGAGAGGTTTTACTTGTCCCAACAGAAATGTTTAACCTCAGGTCAACAGGAGAAGATGAACAGGCTGCTGAGAAAAATCACTATTCCCAAAGTGAACCTCTCAATCACCAGGCCAACTCAGAGCAGTGGTTTCTAAATTGCTTCACACTGCAGTCACCTGGGCAACTTCAAAACCACAGGTGCCTCAGGCCCCACTACATGCTGGGATTTAACTGGAATACGGTATGGCCTGGACCTTAGAATTTTTCAAAGTTGGTTAGGCAGTTTTAATAGGCAAACAAGTTTGGGGACAACTTGCCTGAAAGAAACAGAAGGGCAAATTAAGTGATCTCAAGATTCTGTTCAGTCAAAGATCAAGATAGTAGCAAAGATCCTCAAAGTTAACCTGTCATTGCATGCTTTCAGTGACTTATGTGTAGCTCCATTAAATCTTAACACCAGCATCATAAAGAAAATATTTTTATCATTATCCTCATTTTGTAGGTGAGACTGGAGGACCATCGAACTTGTCCAAGAGCACACAGTGGAAAGCAGTGGGATAGAGCCTAGAACCCAAGCCTTCCTCCCACTTGCATTACCAAGAAGATGGGGGCCTCAGAGAGGAACGTGCTCCTTCCTCCCCTCCCCTCCCTCCCTGCCTGCACCAGTGAGTTCTCTCCCTAAGGAAGTGGGCAGTCAGCTGAAGCCCCCAGCCTGCCCCACCTGACTCACAGGTACTAAAATCCAGAGTTGCTAAGAAAGGGAAACCTCAGGCAATTATCACCACAGAAGAGCTGCTGGTGTGGCCAACAGAGGCAGCCCCAAAGATCTGCTCTTCACTTCACCCTGCATCTCTCAGGATCTGGAGGTGACTATCTCAGGGGTGTGGCAGGACAGAGAAAGGGAGAAAAGAAGCATCTCACTCACTGAACCCTGTACAGGAGGGAGGCAAGGCTGCAGTGCTGGTATAAATATGAGGTCCATTTCTTGTCCTGCAGTGGGAGCTTTGGAGCCGTTGGTCAGCAGAATGGAGACAGTGATATAACCCATATGGGGACAGCAGGCTCCTGGCTAGATTGAAGCTCCAAGCTTGCTTCCCATGCCCTCAGGGCACTCTTCTCCTTGTGTGAACATCAAAACCAGACGTGCAAAGATCATCATCCCAGTATATCCATTTTACATGGAAGAAATAGATACAAAGAGAGAGACTTTGTTGAAGTCACAGAAAAGGTTGGTGGTACAACAAATGCTGGAGAGGCTGTGGGGAAAAAGGAACTTTCCTGCACTGTTGGTGGGAGGGTAGACTGGTGCAACCATTGTGGAGGTCAGTCTGGAGATTTCTCAAAAAGCTTGGATTGGAAGTCCCATTTGTTCCAGCTATTCCATTTCTAGGCATATTCTCAGAAGAACTGAAAATATCATACCACAGTGATATATGTGCACCCATGTTTATAGCAGCACAATTTGTAATAGCCAGATCTTGGAAACAACCTAAGTGTCCATCAACTGAGGAATGGATAAAAAAGTTGTGTTATTTTTATACAATAGAGTACCACTCAGCTATAAAGAAGGATCACATTGAGATATTTATAAATAAATGGGCGCAGCTTGAAACCATACTCATAAGTGAAATAAATCAAAATCACATATATGAATACCAAATAGTCTCCCTAGTGTAAGAAATGATACAAATGCATAAAAATATGTGGTAACTATGATTCCCCATTATATGATTTTGAAGCCTTATAAAGTTTTCACTCACTAATTGGAATGGTTTTATTCTGGGCTGTTAGATATTATTGTTTGTGATGATATGAACAGTTATTTTGAAG